AAAAAAAAAAAAAAAAAAAAAAAAAAAAGTTGTGCTTCCCCTGAGTTAAGTATATTCACACAAAGCACAGAAGGAATTTTCCACCTAAAAGATACTACAGTCTAAAAAAAGCCACAGAGGAAATTAAAAAAAACCCTTTTCAGGCAAGAACCTGCTGAATGAGTCCTACAGGAACATGCACAACAAAGTTGAAATAAGAAAAGGAGAACATAAAAATCGTTTAGGACAGTACAATGCCTAGACTTTAGGTGAACAGGGTGTGGCTTAGGCAAGGGGAGCAGGCAGGTGGGATCCATGGCAGGCCGCTGTCGAAGGCGCAGGAGCTGAGGAGAGCTGGCAGACCATTAAGGAGAGCAGGGCCCACCCTGCTGGGAAGGCAGACAAGCAGGTCTGTTAGGACTTGGCTAAAAGGGACATGGTGGCAGAACTGCAGTGCAAACATCCAGCACATGGGGATGGGAGCAGGGACAGAGTGTGAAGGAAGAATTTAGAAAAGTTGCTTGGGCATGTAGGGCTGATGTCATTCAAGCTAAAGCTCAGCTGGAGCTAAAAGGTTCAAGGGATTTCAAGGGCAACACAACAAGCTTCTACACCTACATTAGTAATAAAAGGGTGCACAAGAAAATGCGAGCGTGCTGCTGAAAGGGGTGGTGATTCAGTGGCAGCAGACACAGGTGGGGCTGTGACTGAACAAGGTTCAAGGGGAAGGAGAATCTCGATGCTTTCAAGACTTCAAGTCAGTTTTCAATTCAAAGCTGTGGCTCATTTACATAGTAAATTTTCAAAAGGTATCACCAGTAAACGTCATATGCATCGCTTAAATAAATCTTATGTGGGATACAATGAATGTAATGGAAACACCATGGTAATTTGATCTGCAAATAGGCAGGAGAGGAATCAAAGAAATAAGGAAGGGTTGTGGATGGTTAAAACATCCAGCCTTCGACTAATTCTTCTTCACCTGTTCTCAGTCACTCTCAATTAACAGTATCAGTTCAAATACAGAGTCAAATACATCTGTGTTTTGTATCAAAAATGCAGGAATGCATATATTTATAGCCACACCAAAAATACTTTGGATAAGAGTTCTCAGAGGTTACTCAGAAAAAAACCTTCCCCTCCTGCCCATAATGCTTCAGATCATCATCTCAATCCTGTTTAAGTTAGGTGTGTCTTTTCCATAGTCAGTGTAAAGAATATGGACAGGATTTTTAAAATGTTTCCCTACACACCCACAAAGGCAGACATCTCTGTTGGATTCACAAAATCACGCTGCTTAAAATGACAACTCAATGAAATACTTTCTGTCTTTGATTTATTATTTCTTGCCCTTCTCTTCACCCATCTTTCTTTTCCTCCACCTTACTCTTCCTCCTCTGCACATGCCAGTTGAACTGGCAGGCAATCATCAGATCTTGTCTTTCTCAATAGAACCACAATTGTTTTGTTCCTGCCTCTCGGGGGACCATTTCAAAGGAAATGTTCTCTTAATTTGAGAAAGTTATTGAAGCTTCATTAATCTGTCCTGAGTACAGAAGAGGATATTCTCCTTTGCTGGCCTATTCTTTCCTTCATCTTTCCATGATATAGCATCTCTGTTGAAATGGAACTGAAAATGATATTTGTTCTTACAGGCTGGTCCCACTGCTTTCCATAAGACTGCTTTGTACATCATGCATTGCACAGGGAATGCAAAAATTATAGTACTTTGGCATTCACTAGTGTGAGAGCAGTGGGATTTTTAGGTCCAAAGCAGCAGTAGTACATCACATATCCTAAGGATCACAGCTGGTAGATTTGGTGGTCTAGAAGTTACTTCTCTGCTTTAATTCTTTGATTTCCTCCAAGTGGCAGCTCAGAATTGTCCTGGCAACCAACTGTATCATCACCAAGGAAGGTGAAGAGAACTAGATGAGAACATGTTCACTCCTGAATCTCTCCCTATGACCTCATTCACTGTCTCTCCTTGTCTCAGTTAAAAGGGAATCTGTAGTTGTGAGACAGACAGGACCATCCAGTAAGGCAGCCAGCTTCTCCTTCTAACTCTCAGGGTGCAAAATACTGGTCATTCTCTCCCACTGGTGGTGAGAAAGAGGGCGCTTTAGATATCTAATTGCTAGGCATGGCCTAGAAGTATTTCGATCTAATAATATGTTATCATATTTTTAAACCTTTCAGCCAGAAATTTCCTCCTTCCTATCCCCCCTGCAATCAGTCCCTGCAGACACAGTATGCAGCAGCCATATACTCTGAATACTCTGCAAGCATTCATCACAGACCATCTTTTCTGATTGCCTTTGTTCCGTTGCAGAACTAGCCTGATCATTCAGTTGCTTCACTGGGAACTTTTGTAGTATCCACAGAGAGAAGCCAGACTGTGAAAACTGCTAAAATCCCAACTGGAAACACAGCAGACAAGCATCCCCTGGCTTCACTCAACAAAAAATGTTTTACTGATAGAAGGATGATCTCAGTGCTAAGGGGAATTTCAGACTCTTGGGCTTAGTTCTAAGTATTTCAGGGAAAGAAAGAGGCTGAATCTCCTTTCAAGGAGTTGCCAAACTTCAAGAACTTTCAAAAAAGCATCAGCATCACTAGAAAGAGATCCTTGTCAGACACCTCTAGGGAAGCCGTGCTCAGTTAGCTCATCGTTAGTGAGCACCTTTAACTGGAACAGTTTACAGTTAGGCTCTAGATGCCTATTTTGTTAAAATCTCTTATAAAGATGACTCCATCACTATGGTAAGTTATTTCCTGACACGGAAGGGCTCTACAGGAAGAGCAGTTATTTGGCTCTGGAAGAGATCCCACGGATTAATTAGGAGAAAAGAAATGTGGAAGGCAACAAGAAGCCATCCAACCCAACAGTGCAGATCCCTTCTTGTTCCAAGTGGGCATAAGGCAAGATCCCTTCCACAGCTCAGTCAGGGTCCACTTGCAGGGGTGCACTCACAACAGCTCAGCTGCAGCCCTGCCCTGTGACATATTTCAGGCTGCTCCCAGAGAGCACCTCCAAATTCCAGCTCTTTCACTCAGTTCGAAACAGGACATAAGACAGAACTTAACTTTCAATCTAATGTGGAAGGCACGCTAACAAACAGAAGGCTGAGTTTAAAAAGATATCAGAAAGGAAGTATGAGATTTCTTTTGATTTATTTACATATATACTACCTTCCTGTTTGGTTGACTTGGGAGAGGGGACAAATACCGAAACAGGAGATTAAAACACCTTGTGGAGGCACTGAGTGGTGCAGAAGACTCAAATTTGAAGATGTTGTAGCTTTAGGCCTTGGTTTCATATCGACTGTGTGATCTCATAGAGTTAGACACACTCTGTTCCAGGGAATCATCAACCAATCTGCCAGCGTACAGCACACCTAGAGATGAACTCAGAAATGCAAGGCTCCCTTTCACTACTAACTTCATGGCAGAAACCTCTCCCCTTCTCCTTGTGCTTTCCAGCAGCCCAGAGGACTCTGTCATTGTAAAGTCATGCTATTTAGGTTAGACGTGTCCCAAGGTTTTTAATAAAGCTACTATGGAAATTCATTGAGGGAAGAACGATAAAAGTCAGAATGGGCATGTCTTCTTCTCCTTCTGCCACTACAGATCTAGAGAAGAAATCTCAGAAGGCAGCTACTCCAGGAGACATCATTTTGAAACAACAATGAAACAGTCACCACATTGCAAGAGAAACTTTGATGCCAATCAGCAGCCCACCCTGACAGGCAGGCAGGCATGACAGAGAGAAAATAAAAACTAAGTGAGGAAGCCTTGCAGCTGAACTACTTAAAAGGGCACTTGCAAGGGGATGAGACCCAAAAGAGACACTCTGCCATGATTCTGATACAACTTGTGGAAGATAAACCATAAGAAAACCTTTTTTTTTTTTTTTTTTTCCGCAACGAAGCCATACTTCAGCTGTCAATATATTAAAACCAACAAAAAGGTCTATCTGAAACTCACTGCCAGAATAACCATACACAAAACTGTGTCCTTTCTCTTGTTTTTCATAGTGACCTTTTCCACTGCACGCAACTTCCCACAGGCATGCGAGACCCTGTATGCTAAAAAACTATCAGGTATCAACTGTAAAGGAAAGAAAATTAAGCACAAACAGCCTTATGGTTATTCTAGAAGAAGGTTATTCTGGAAGGTTCCAACATGTGATAGATTGACATAAGTCATAGTGAATAAGGTGGTGGGTGTTTGCACTACTGCATTTAGCCAGAGGCAGGCAGACCAGTTTCAGTATTTGTATCTGCCTTATCAAACAGGCTCTACCCTTAGTGGGAGTTAATAGGGGCGCTTCATTAACTCAGGCAGTCAAGCATCATTTTGTCACAGGGGAACTTGCAGTAAGTTCACTTAGCACTCTGTGCATCCAGGTTAGAGAATGTGCATAGCCTCTGTGGTATAAACAAGGAAAAGGATTTCAAAGTTATGAAGGGAAAAGTGATTCTCCTTTGCCTTCAGAACAGACTTTTTCAAAAAAGGGAATGAAAACATCTTCCCCATCTTGCAAGAATTCTTGATGTTTTCACTGGTTTGAATTAAGATGAAATTTTAAACCTTCAAAAAAGCTTGAAAAGCCCAAATCTGGTTCAAACCCAATCAAAGCGAGTCAATCAAATACTTTGTTTCAATAATTCTGAAGACTTGTTTTATTTCATCTATAGTACTTGCTTTAGATGATGTGTCAACTCCAAAGAAGCATTTCTTTCGTGTATTCTGAAAGCTGTTCTTTAAATTGAAGTGTTTTCTTTTACGTTTTTTTTTTGGCAAAGGTAATCACATTGAAAGGACTTTTGTGCCCAATCAGTTTGTGCTTTAATGAGTCGTTTTCCTCTTTAAAAGTTAATTCGAAAAATATTCAGCCAGCTATGCTTCTATTGCTTCTAGGGCAATGGAGCAGGGTCTGGTGCAGGGTCTGGAGCACAGGTCTGCTGAGGAGCGGCTGGGGGAACTGGGGGGGTTCAGTCTGGAGAAGAGGAGGCTGAGGGGAGACCTCCTGGCCCTCTGCAACTCCCTGCCAGGAGGGGGCAGAGAGGGGGGATGAGTCTCTGGAGCCAAGGAGCCAGCGCCAGGCCCCGAGGGAATGGCCTCAAGCTGCCCAGGGCAGGGTCAGGCTGGCTCTGAGGAAGGATTTCTGTGCAGAAGGGGCTGTTGGGCGTTGGAATGGGCTGCCCAGGGCAGGGGGGAGTCCCCATCCCTGGAGGGGTTGAAGAGTCGGGCTGAGCCAGCGCTGAGGGATCTGGGGGAGTTGGGAACTGTCGATGTTAGGTTAACGGTTGGACTAGATGATCTTCTGATCTTCAAGGTCCTTTCCAACCCAGATAATTCTTTGATTCTGTATTGATGTGACTGAAGGGCACCTTTTTGCAAGGCTGATCTTCTGAAACATTCATCCCATAAACAAAGGATACTGAAGGAAATCTTGTATATCAAGTATTTAGATATATGTATATATGTATATCATATCTGTAAATACATTCCAATTCTTTTCCCTTTCGAAGTCAGGCACAAGGTTTGCTCTTCAGTCATCTGAGCTGTAATGCCATCCCTCCATTTACAAATGGCACTTTGGCTAGTACACTTACTACCCAAGTGGTTTTATCTGAATGTTGTTGAACATCCTGTTCGCTAGCCCACTTTTCTGTGGTTTAGTATTTTACTGAACTAAATTTCCCTAAATCTGTTTATAATCAACCTTTTCTGTTGAAGACTAAGGAAAAGCATATTTGCCACTACTGTTTCAACCATTATTTCTTCTCTCTCATTAACAATGGATATGAGGTTTTCCCTCCCGGCCTTACTTTTGAAATGCAAAACAGTTATTAGGGGTTCTCTAAGTGTCCCCCAGCCCAGCACAGAGGTGCTCATTCTCAGCGCCATTTTCTCTCTCTGCTCCAGCCTGCATGCTGTGTCACCGGGCAGAGGCTGACCCCGATATCTGCGGGTCCAAGAGAGTGAAGAAAGGACTCTGTACCCACAACTATTGCCTGGTGAGTTCCCTCCAGCTTTCTGCCAGGGATGGTCCCTTTCCTTCTGATCTAACAAGCTCACGGCCGTCTCTGCTTTGCAGTTTCTTTGCAGCGAGTTTACTCTACAAGAGAGAATGAACTGTTTTCTCACCAAGGACACCAGGTGCCATCCAGAGGGTGGCCCGGAAGGTGAGCACCTGGCAGCAGCAGGGAGGTTTGCACCAGGAGAAGCTGGCGGGGAGCTCCTCCTGGAGCCCAAGAACGGAATCCCAGCCCTTCCACCACTCTGGAACAAGCCCCTGCTCCCAGCAGCTCCACAGAGGTGTGGGAACAGACATGCAAGCCCCAGGCCTGCTGCTGAGAGGGGTTTCTGTTTCTGTTCTCTTTCCAGCGCTGCTTTGTCTGCAGTGAGATGGGTGCCGCCATCACCTGCTCTGAGCGTGGCTGCAACCGCAGCTTCCATCTCCCCTGCGCCTCAGAGGGTGAATGTGTCACCCAGTTCTTTGGGATGTACAGGTAAGGGCTGCCAGAGTGGACAAGCAAGTGAGGAACTCACAGGGAAACTTCCCAGCAGCCACAGCCACGGCCTGACAGGGTTTGGGGCTCCTTCACAGCTCCTCTGCCCTCCCTGTCGTTGCCAGGGAAGGACTCAGCACTTCTCACCATCCCTCTCATCTTCCCTCCAGGTCCTTCTGCCAGGAGCACCACCCAGAGCAAGTGGTGCAAGCCACTCCAGAGCAGAACACCACCTGCATCATCTGCATGGACCTCGTGGAAGACAAAATGTCCTACCACACCATGGTTGCCCAGCATGCCGACATGCCTGGTTCCACCGGCACTGCATGCAGACACAGGCTCTCCACACTGGCACCAGCTTCTGCTGCTCGCATTGCCGAAACAAAGACCAGTTTGTGATGGAAATGCTCACCATGGGGATTCGAATCTCCACGAGGTTGTTTTTTTCTCTTCCCAACTCATAAAACATCAGGCACAAGCACAGTGTCAAGCCAGGGACTGCTCCAGCAGACCTGATCTTCTGCTGTCCCTTGACTCTGGTCCACAGATTCGTGTGGGAGATGGAAACAGGGTGGGGTCAGAAGAGCAGGGACAGCTAGTATCTGTCTGATTCAGGGGCAGCAGGGGCTTGTCGTGGAGGCTCACACAATCAATCACCTGTTAAACTCCACAGAAGCTGCTCCTCAATCAAAGTTGTTTACAACTCTGACAACATGATTAAACCACAGGTTCAGTGATGTAAGGGGGACTTAATACTGCACAGCTGACTTAAGAATTCTTTAGCTTTAGAAATGGTGGCCCAAAATGCACATATCATTCATGTGAAAGATGAGGGCTTCAACCTCAAGGAGTTCCCTTGGGTGGCATCCCAACCCAAGGGGAGAGTCCCCAGTCACAGACCTGCTGCTCCCAGGAGAGCTGCCTCAATTTGCCCTCCAACAGGGCTCCATTTACACCCAGGACAAATCTGCCCTGTGCTCATACATGGTCAGTGGTGCAGAAACTTCTCTTGACGGAAGTATTTCGTTGGCTGAATGGCCTGGCCTTTCAACTGCCGTGTGTATGCGACGGCTGTCACCAACAGAAATGTGTACATGGCCACAGTCACCACACAGCTCGACCCCAAAGTGTGGCTTCTAGTTTTAATTCTTCCCTTTTAGCAGTTAAGAAGTTTCGGTCCTTATTGGGGAGGGTGCGCCTGCCGCAGGACTCAACACTTTCCCCTTCCTTCTCCAGAAGAGAATCATCATGGGAGAGTGACCACGCCTTTGGAGAGGTGTATCAGAGCCACAGCTCCTGCAACGCCAGCAGGTGCCTGTTCCCAGGAGGCAGGGAGCAGGCCGAGGAAGAGGGGTAGGTCACCAAAGCACCGACCTAGAGCTCTGCGTGCATGGGATCTCTGTCTCCCCATGGGCTCCGGGAGGAAGGACTAAGAACAAGGGCTCTGCCAGGAAATCCCTTGCTTGAGATAATTTGTCCTAACAACCAGCAACCCATTGCCTTCTCCAGGCCTGGCAACTGCTGCTGTGCAGCTCCTGTGCCAGACAAGGCACCCACTGACACTGCTCTGACTTGAGGAGTGAAGAAACCACCTGGGAGTGCGACAGCTGTGTTGGCCTGGGCACCGGTAAGAGGCAAAGCACCCGTGTGGGTGCCCCCCTGGGCTGGGGCCAGTGTCCAGGCTAAGCCTGATAGCAGGGGCTTAGGCTGGGCTTGGTGCTGGGAGTGCCTGGGACACCATGACGGCCTCTCATGCCCCAGGGCTGACTGCCCATGACACTGACCTTCTTGCTTCCCCTCACAGCCTCCAGTGAAAATTCAGACCTTGCCAGCTCCAGTGCCACCAGGCAGGTGGTGGCACTGGGGTCACCCTGCAGCTCCCAAGTGCCTAGACACAGCACTTACTGCAGCCACCCTGGGCCAGAACGGGTGCGACATCGTGCACGATTAGAGCGTAGGGCGCAAAAACCATACAGCCGGCCCAGAGGAAGATGTGAGGGGACCAGCCATGTGCCAGTCCCAAGTGATGAGCCCAGCAGCCCTGGCAACGCCTGGCAGATGATTTCGGGACTGCTCCTTCGCACCCTGGCACCCAAGAGGAACAGCTCCAGTTCCACCAGACATGCAGCATCAGGGCTGTCTCGTGGTACTTCGGTGCTCCAGAGCAGCAGACGCGCCGGCACCCTTGGGCCAGACAGGATCCGATATCACTCAATACTAGACCGTCAGGTGCAAAAACCATACAGCCGTCCTGGAGAACGCTTCTGACTGGTCATGCATCAGCCCCAAGTGCTGGCCCCTATCGCCAGCCCAATAAAGTTGGCTGCTCACCCACCCGCGCTGGGAGTTTCCACATTCAATGTGTTGGCACAGTCAGATCAGCCCTCAGCGATCGGGCTGGGCTGTGGTGGCAGTGCCCATCGCCTCCTCCTCGCAGGCCAGGCAAGTGGATGGACGATGGGGAGAAGCCCCGCGGCCCTGGCTCGGCCTCCGCTCGCTCTCGGGCAGGCAGCGCTGCCAGGCCCCACCGCTCGCTGTGGCGCCTCGGGC